CCCCAAAACCCCAAAACCCCAAAACCCCAAAACCAATAATTCCTATTGAAAAAATGAAGTTTTACTACAAATTTGGACCATTCTGGTCAATGTTTATAAACTCAAACTCCACATTCTCGTCTCCTTCCAAAGTATGCAGGTTCTCGATGGGTGGCAGCATGTGCACCTCCGACTGGGAGTACTGGGCGTGTGGCCTATAAGTCAGGGATTTTGGATACGTTTAAAAGAAGGAGAATTAAGCGATTTTAGGGGGAAATAGATGAAAATATCGGATTTTAGAGGAAGAAAAGTGAATTTAAAAGGAATGGACTGGATTATTATGGTACAGCTTGGTGGAGAAGGATTATAGGAGTATTACAGCTTTTCAGATGGGTTGTAGTTGATATACCTGGGCTGGAATGGAGTCACTCTATAGTTTAAATACCCTCTATTTACATTTTACTATGATATCGTGTATTTGCTTTAAAATTATGCTTCGTCATTCCAGCATTCACCTTGCTGTTCACAGGAATTTTATCGATTATCGGATTTTTAGGGGACACATCAATGTTATAGTCTGATGACTGAGAAGAGTTATCTACTTCTGGCTGGGTTTTGATGTATCACTGGCTCCTCCTTCTTTCCCCGAGGGTATTTATTTTTGAAAAATCACGCTCTCTTGAAGTCTGCTGAGCATTAAAATTTTCCCAATCCTCATTTACTACATGAAAATTCTGAGGCTTTTCAGTCTCACTACCAAAATAGATGCTGGCACTATCTCTCACATTGACAAAAATATTATTCTTCGTCCTATGATCTGAAAGATGAGGTTGGAATTTTTCTGTGATTCCATCCTCAATGTTCTTTCCTTTCTGTTCACTTCTGCTAAAATACTGTTCCTGGAGATTAAATTCTTCTAAGTCATCCTCATTACTACAAGTTCTTTGACAAGCTTACTTTGATTTAGCAGACATAATTGGGTTGTGATCAAATGACACAAAAGTATCAACCTTCTCCCTTTTGCTTGTCACGGGTAGAGACTGTTCTTCCTTATGAGATTCTTCTCATGCTCGTATTTTGGCCATTGTAAGATTTGTGATATTTCTAGATAAGTTCGCCAACTATACTCACTTCTCGGCCTCAACTCAATTCGTTCTTGGAGGATTAAGTTTACCCTCAATGCTCGATAACCTCTTTGAAGCTATAAAATGATGCAGTAAATTACCTGGATAAGAGTTGACAGCAGTGCTACTATTATATGTAATCTCTTCTGCTTTAGAACCCTTGCATTTTTGGTTTATAACCATATTGATTTGACCTTTCTCTTCCGGTTGATCTTCCTCTGTAATAACAAGGTATTTATCTAATGTTTTCTCTTTGCTTCTCTGTGTTTCGAATAACTTATTTTCTATCATTCTCTAGTTTAGACAGGTCAAGCTCGTCCTTATTATGGCTATACTCTAAAGTATCCAGTTCTTTAGCCTCTGTAAGCTCAGGGAACTTAAAACTGGAGTTGAAATGACTAGTCTCGTTGCTGTAGAGTCAATAAGCTGAACCTTACGCAAAATTTGTAGTTGATTTCAGCTTGACGACTCCCAATATTTCATACATAATGTCATACAACTTCTTATTCTGCTGCTTCAGGATCAAATTATTTTTCTCAAAGTTGATTCATTTATTCTTCAAACTTTTATTCTCAGCTGATGATCTATGCATAAAGGAAGGGCTTTACTCCTCGAGCTTTATTTTCAAGCTCTTTATCTCATCATTTGCTTTATCTAGTGAAGAATTTGTTTCCCTAAGTTCCCTAGTCTTCTTATCTAGAAGTTCAGCGAAAGGGATGTTCGAGGAAGGCACTCCTTGCGCATCTTTGAGGTTCTGTAATTGGTCTTCAGTGATTGTATTTTGATACGTCATTGGTTTATAATTCGATTTAGCATATTTGTTATAAGATGTCTAAAAATTACACATTATTTCTACCTCAATGAAATTATTCTTCTTGGCCCTCTTTCAATTTCGCTCGTACGATTCGTTCCTTGAAGCATCGATTTCAGGAACAAGAAAGGAACCACTGCTGGATCTGAGGTTGATCCCAGAGTGCTTTCCATTGGAGCGCTCTCTGCTCTTATTTCCTTAAAATCTTTGCTGCAGCATTGATATGCGCTATTAATGATTCCTTCATAACTTACCATCGATTTTAATCATATGAGGACTGTTTCCTCTCTCAGTGTATTTTTCAAAAGTAAGTCAGCTATCCTTCCTACTAAAAGTAGTGAATTCAGGTCACCCAATATGCTTCTTCTTGTTTCCAGTGTTTGGCCTAGAAGTAGCTTTCCTACTTCTCTGTGTCTGAACCTTAATATTTTTAACTCAATCAAAGCAGAAGCAGGTATTACTTCCATCACAAGTATTCAGCTTGCATAAATTATTAAACCTCGGGTTTTTGGTTTGCATCGGATGCGACTTATCAAGCCGAAGGTTTATATTATTTAGGCTTCGAGATCTTGACCTTATTGCTAGCCTTAACCTTCGGTTTTATGTTAAAAATCTCCTTTCTTGACCCACCTCGGGTATTATTATTATCTTGGTCGTATAATCTCACTGAATTCTCTGAGTGAAGTAGGTTTATGCTAGTTTTCTTATCCCAGATCTCTTTATCAACAAGCTTGTTAACATGACACCCTTCCATCTTCCCTGCTCCATCTCTCTTCACTCCATTCCTTCTCAACCCCCTATTTTCCTTATTAACCTCCATTAATCCCAAATTTCCAATTTAAATTTTCAATTTGGCCCCTTAAACCCGGGGTTTTGGGGTTTTGGGGTTTTGGGGTTTTGGGGTTTTGGGG